TCTAGTGGGGAGAGGACAGGAATGATGCTGAACATCCTATATAACATGTGGGACAGCCCCTTCAAGAAAATTACCCAACTCAAAATGCCAGTAGTGCCAAACCTAAGAAACTCTAGCTTTAGATAAAGCCCAAGAGGCATTGAGGAACTAAAATGGCTCATCAGAAGTGTCCTGAGTTGGGCAAAAATGAGTGGGCCTTTATAACCCTACCTCCATCTGTAAGTGAATATATTCAGGCAATCTCTGAAGTCTGTCCAGTGACTGCGCTCCCAGAACCTGGACAATCACCCCTCCATTGAAGAGGGATGGAGAGAGCACATCTTTCCTATAGTTCCCTGCTATTAGCTATGTGCAAGAGTACAGAGAAGAAATATGTCATGCTACTTTCCTGAGTTGCTGAGGATAAAGAAAAATCCATGCATACCTAAAAGGTCAATTTCTACTGGAGCATAGCTAACTATATGACTTACTGTTTATTAACTCTTATTGGTATGTAAGATGCTTTATCTGCTCCATCATGCCTCGTGTATCCTTATGCCAACCATTACAAAATTTGATTACAACAAATCTGTAAGTACTTGATAAGATTTCCATCTCTGGCCAATTCACAGCTAAATCAGATGAAAATGCTTAATACTCCTTGTTTGTAATCAAAAGCAAAATGTAGATTTTCTGACTTTTAAAGTCACAGAATGTAAGAAGTAGAAGGGACCCTAGAGGTCACCTAGTCCAATTTTGCATGCAATCTGCACATGTATGCATGTATACACAACACTTCTAGCAAATTCTGATTGCCTTAATTATCTACAGTGAAATGCAACTTGCTATCTCGAATGGTAACGCATTCTAATTTAAGATAGATTTAATTTTATTTCCTTTATTAAGCTTAAAACTTCCTATCTACAACTTCTTCCCTCTGCTCATAATTACATCTTATAGATACTTTGCTTTCTATGTGAACAATGCTGAGAGTTATTTTGTTTCCAAATAAACTCTCATTTCCAAATATTTTCCATATCAAAATATTTTTTGAATTAAATATATCTTTTTTCCTTCAACCTGTGTGCTTCATAAAGCATGGTCTTGACTGCCCATATTCTTGGCTCCCATGAACTCTAAGATGACATATTTGCATTTTCCAATATTTCTTTATCTTTCTCTTCACTGAACAATTTTACCTTGTTCAGAAAAAAAATCTAGAGTAACATTTTTTCTGATGGAACAAGTCACAGATTATTAATCCAACAAAACTTCCTTGTTACATAATATTGTCATAATTTATTGTTCAACATCATTTGCAAAATAATGGTTAATCACGGTGTTTATTTTTATAATGTCTATATCAAGAAAATAATGTCTGAAAAGTAACATAGAGTCAGGAAAAATAATGAGAATTTTGCTTTTCTCATTATTTTAATTAGGGTGGTTTTTAAATTGCTCTTGAATATGTTAGTTATTTCTCTGATATTTTAAATGATTGAAGCCCAAAACATATAAATGATATTTGAATGTAATGAGGTTTTTCTTTCTGGAATGTAGTCCCTGTTATAAAAATATGAATGGTGGTAGCAATGAATAGAATATGTTAATAATTATTCATAATGGTTAATTCTAAGTTTAATAATTAACATAAAATTGCAAAAATAAACATTTGGTCATGTATAATACGCATATTGTAAAATGACATTGCATAATCAGTCCAGAGGTAGTTAATGAGTGCCCATTTGAAATCCCTACTCATTTATGTTTATGCTTATTAATATATAATAATTAATAAAATAATGGGTGATAAGAAAATGGAGTATGTAAATAGTTCCCTATATATAAGTCCTCAATGATGACATTTTCTTTGGAAAAATGATTCTCATGTCACATTTTTAGGAGGCCAAGTTTAGTACATCCATTTCAGTCACCAGAATCGACTTTTATGGAGTAGATTCAGGGCTCTCATTTCTTATTAAAAGAAATAAACATGTTTCTCCTCTTTGAGTTTAAGCGAGTACTAACAACAATGTATTATCAGCATGAAGAGAGAAATCTTTTTCTCTACCATTATCTAGGTTTTATGAATTTGGTGTCTCTTTTGCTCTAATTACTACCTGCAGGGAACAAAACTAATGCTCATTTTCAATGCAAATATTTAAGAGAAAGATTAGACTAAGGATGCCATGTCACACAGGAGTGGCCAACCACTACAGTCAACAGCCCTCAAATCTTAGTAGATCCGTCTAAGAAATGTTGATTTCTGGCTCACGAAACAGTCTAACGCAGGTTTGCTGTGGGGAGGCAGGCCATTCTCTGGGCCTCTAGGTTCTGTTTTATGCTATGTGGAAGGCCACACAGCAGGTTTTAGGGATCAGCCCTGGAAGTGGCATACATCACTTTCTCCCACACGAACAGAACTCAGTCATCTAACATTAGGAAAGCACAAAAATGTCTAGCTGTGTTCCCACGGAAAAAAGAAAAAAATTTAATGTTGTCCAGCGTTGCCTCTGCCACAGACTGATTTTGAAGCAATTATTTCCCTTACTTATTTTTTGCTATAATTTCATGACCTAACTCATCCCTGGCCCTGAACCTTGCAACCTTGGGTTATTCTAGCTTCCTGATCTTGTCAGTTTGCAAGGAGAATTAAGAACAAACAGGATGATTCAGGCTTCCTGAGGACTACCCTGAAGCGGCAGAATGGTCTCATGGTCTTCAGAAAAGTGCCCTTCTCCCTTGCCAGCTCTCTCCTGGTTATTGCTAACATGACTGCTGCAATGCAGCTGCCACCAATGCACATCCCGCGACCTGGTACTTCTGTCAGCTCACCTGCCCTTTTTAAATCTAGCACACAAATTGCTTTGTGTATGAAGTATGAGTGAGCTAAATTTTTTACTATCTTAGGTTGCCTGATAACACAGACAGTAACTGAGACGGAAGGAGAGGAAATGGCATTGCTGGAAGAGGAAGAAATTGATACAGTGCTTAGTCAGAACCGACAAATTCAAAAGAGAAAGTGACAGAGTAGTTATTGCTGAGAGGAGCTAAGTGCATAAATTCTCATTCAACTTGCCAATATAAAAGATCTCCAAAGAAGTGAATGACAGAAGAAATGAATAACATTTTACTATTGATTGTTATGATGTTTTGTCCACACTGGCTAATTATGATATAATCTGTGTCAAATTGAGAAAAAACCCATAATCCTGAATCTGTATTTTCCATGCTCAATGACTCTGACCCAACAGCATGTGAAATAGTTCCTCCAAAAAGTCCCACCTGATTGGCCAAAAAGTGGTTTTGTTAATTATTCTTTAAATACTCATATCAATATTGTCCTCTGTATTAGAGCCCAAGACATGGATCAAAGTGTTGATGTTATCTGGAAAGTCCAAGCCCAGGCTGGTGAGGTAAGGAGAAAGGTGGAAGTGAGGTAAAGACAAAGGGCATTGTTGTGCAATTCACTACTATGATGGTAATGCCTTTAACACAGCCATGAACAGATACAACTGGTTGTTCAGGACATATGTTTGCTTGGAAAATAGGACTTTTCCGAAAGTTTTGCAAGGAGAAATTCCACCACAGAGCAACTGATGAAAGAGGAAAGGAGGGGACATTTATCTATTCAGTTTCTTCCAGTCTTCCATTTCCCATTGTCAAAATTAGCCCATGCAGAGCTAACTTGCTCACACATTCAAAATGTGTCCCTCAGCCCCTTGTCAACTTCTCAGGCAACTAAATATCATGTTATCTGTTGGGACATTTCATCCAAGTGTAGAAATGGAAAGGAAAATCAACATGGATAAAGCTGTTGACTGTGAGAGAGTAAAGAGGCAGTTAAGAGAAAATGAGGTCTACAATGTTTATATCCCACATCGTGTCCATTCATAGTACTTATATCCATCTACGTCCTTCCAACACATCAGCTTACTGGGGAAGTGAGTACAAGGTGACCCCGTGGACCTGTAAAATAACCTCAAGCCAGAATTACATTTATTGCTTGATCTTCACCCCCTTTCTAACTGGTGACGATGGTGGCATTTCCAGTCTTTGAGTATCAATGTCACCTAGAACCCCACATCTAACATTCTTTTAAAAATCTGCATATTTCTGATTCCCCAGTACACAGTTATCTTGACAACTAGCTATACGATTATTTGGAGGAACAATGGGAGGAATATTTACCACATATACTTGCTGTGGAACTGTAGGGTCCCCGCTCAAGGTAATCCAACGTCCCCTTCCATAAGTGCATCTGGGTATCTGGTACAGCTTATATTTGGAAACAGGGTAAGTAGCTATGATTTTTCAGTATAATAGCTGATATTAGCCTTCTGCTAACCTGCTCTCAATTTTTTTTTCTAATTATATAGAACATATAGTACCCTATTCAGCTGTCTGACTGCCTCACTTCAATGGGAATACCATGATCTGTTAGCTGCTACCATAGGTCTTTGTGGGTCCAGGACTTGTTTGACATTTTAGCTCTATGGCTCATTGTGAAGATTAGATCCATCTTGGTGCTGATGATTAATTGTTGCTACTTGCACTATGCCTTTCCAGAATCCCATCTTTCCAGACAGAATAGAGAGGCGAGGTTGATGGCTGAATTCCCTACAAAAAAGCCTCACCCTACAGAGTGCAGTCACTACCAAACTAGCAAAGACTCTGGTACCCATCTTTACCCCCAACACTACATTTTCTTACTCTCCAGTGAACAGAGGTTCTTTATCTGCTCCTGAGGACCTTGGTCATGTGGTGAGTTGATGAACTATACATGAAAAAGTCATTTAACATTCTCATATGCTAGAACTTTCTGATTGCCTCTTTAACATTTTGCCAAGGAAGTTCTTGTACCCCTACTTTGTTTATTCCTGGTCATCATTGAGTCCAGAGTTCTGAGAGCAAACACAGAAAATTATTAGGGCCAACTCCTGTAATTCTTTATAAAATGTTAAATCCTGATTCATGAGATTCTGAGTCTAATCAGTCTTATGTTCCACTTCCCTTTCCAGCCCTACAGTCTCAAGACCCAGACCCATACATGCTTTCCGGTCTCTTGCCGCTACACAGCCAGACTGCCATTACTTTTCCAGTACAGCTTCCTGGAGTATAGCTTTGGTTTCCCCTTTGAGGCTGTGCTGAAGCCTGACTTTGGTGATGGCCTGTAGGCAATGTGGGGTGATGAGAGTGCGTCTTGAGGGAAGTGAATGTCTTCTTGTAAGACACCTGCGTCTTGTGAAATCATCGCATAGCCTCCAGGTAAGAGGAGACTGAAATATGTCCTATGACAATAGAGAAGGGCTGGAACTGGGGGTTCTATATTCTCAAGTTCATCCACTCATTGCCCTATCCCAGGTCTCAGGGTCCCACTCTTCCACTTGCAGAGTCCTGACTTTGTCATAGGAAAACTATCAAGGCTGTAAATTTAGGGTTCCTGGATTTCTAGGCAAGATTTGGGAAGCATCTTCCCTGACTCTTTTAATCAACTATTTAAGGTCTGTACTGTTGACATCAATAATTTCTTCACATCTCAATCCTAATAAATAACATGGTTCCCCAAATTAAGTTCTCTTCCACTGTCTTGCGCTCCATCTACACATCATAATCCACCACAGGTGGATGCTTAAGGAATTATGATACTACTTCATACCAGCAGTTTTTGTTTTTAGAGAGCTGAGTAATCTAACTACAAAGTCCCATCCTGAGGCACAATTGTGTTGACCTTGGCACTCTAGAAAATAGAGCCTGAGGCAAAAAATAATATGCTGGCAATTTATTGGGACGTTCAAGCATGGGGCTCTGAGTAGGAAGGGGGAACAAGATGCTATTGAGTCAGGAGAGGGGCAGGCAAGGGAGTTGGAGAAGGTATACAAATATTGTAACCTCCAAATTAAAAAAACTAATAATAAAATATTGAAATATTTCATCATTTTTTCACTTTTAATACACTTTGTGTGGTTATGATCTTTGTTTTTTGTTGTTGTTTTTTTTTTTTTCAGGAAGATTAGGCCTGAGCTAACTGCTGCCAATCCTCCTCTTTTTGCTGAGGAAGACTGGCCTTGAGCTAACATCCATGCCCATCTTCCTCTACTTTATTTGTGGGACACCTACCACAGCATGACTTGACAAGTGGTGCCATGTCCATACCCGGGATCCGAAATGATGAACCCTGGGCCACCGAGAAACAGAACGTGCAAACTTAACCGCTGCGGCACTGGGCTGGCCCGGTCATGATCTTCTTATGATCATACAGTCTGAACAAAGATCCTGTGTACACAAGAAAGCAGCAGATAGCACATATTTAGGAGCAAATGATCTTGTACCTGAAACAGATATAATGTCTTCTAGGTCACCTGAATTAGAGGCAGTAGTAGTTCATATATGTACCTAAGGACATTCAAACATGTCAAATTATACAGGAAATGTCTGTATTAATGATTTACTTAGATAATACATCAGAAGTGTGAAATCCATAAAATAGGCACTTTCAAGCTGTTCCTGTCATCTTCAAAACCTATCTCAAAATATCCCTCCTTTGTGAAACTTGCCCCAGGTGAGGGTGGTTACTTCCTTATATGCATTCCTTTGGCACACAGTGCAGCATTTTATAAATTTCCTATCTCTCTCCCCAACTTGAAGATCAGGATGGCATTTTTCATCTGCCCTGATGCTTGAAACAGTAACTAGTATGTGCAGTGCTTTAATAAATGGATGAATGAAAGAAATGACACTTTTACTTTCAAATACTGCAAGCTTTTGAGTCTTGCACTTTTTGCCTTTCTCAATAATTCCCCAGGCATCTTGGGTCTTTATACTCTTTCAAAGTATTCTTTCAAGGGAGGAACTGAAGCTTAGTTTTACTAGGATGTAAATGAATTATAACAGTTTAAGAATAGCATAATTCATAACAAATATAGGTTTCTCCATTTGAAATCTATTACTATTTCAAATACCTTGAAAAATGCAAAAAAATGATTATCTAAAAATAGAAGAGAAAAAATTAGTTTTGAAAGTTTAGTTATATATTGATTTGCATCTGAGAGTGTGTGTATGTGCATGTAGATGGAGAAATTAGCTTTTCCTTAAACAGGAGAGTTAGAATATTTCATGAAATTAATGGAAAGAGTATCCTAGAAAGAATAAAGGGAGGCTTGGATAAATTAAAGATTTTATCTTCAACCAAGCTGGAGTAATTGACTAAATTAACTTGTCCTAAAGAGACACGTACTGAGACATTGCAAAATAAAAAAAAGATAAAAGGAAATTAGAGGATGTAATATGGAATATAAACAGCAATAGTTAGAAATAAAGGGGAGACTGAGAATCCACTGTGGAGGGGAGAAAAGGTTTACATGTATAGAAGTGACTAAATACACCAGTTCATTCTATGAGGAAGGCTCATCTTCTTTCAACTGACACATGGACAAAAATCTTGCATCCAAATTCTGTATGGAAAAAGACTAAGATATAAATTAAAAGTAAAAATATGTGAATATAAGAAATGGTAGCTTTTTCTGTCTTAACCTATCCAAATTTCCCAAAGATTATGTTCTTTGAAGACATTTACATATAAATTTGTGCATTGTATGACAGATTTATTATCAAACAGTTTAAAGTTCTTGCATTTTTCAACCATTGTCTGATGACTTTGGCACTTTTTATTTTATTTTTTTTAAATCTTGATTGGAGATTGCCGTTGCATTTCTCCAGATATAGTTAAGGAAAAGGCACTATTCGGGTAAAATTAATGTGGTATTCATGAATCATACATGATAGAATAGACTACTGAATAATATTTGAATATATGCTTTTCTCTGAAAAAATCTTACAAAATGGAATGAACATGGAAAAAGAAATAATTAAAATTGCTTTTCCTGGTGCTACACCTTAAGAAAGATTCAGCACTTGCCTTTGAATTCAGACTACTCCATGATACTAAGATCACATCTAATGTCTATCCCCTAAGCCTAGCAAGGAAGGGCAAGTAAAATAGTCACTATTTGGCTATTGTATCATTACTTACTGCTTTTAATTGATGAACTAAGTGTATCCCTTTTTTGTTTGTTTGTTTGTTTGTTTGTTTAAAGATTTTATTTTTTCCTTTTTCTCCCCAAAGCCCCCCGGTACATAGTTGTGTATTCTTCTTTGTGGGTTCTTCTAGTTGTGGCATGTGGGACGCTGCCTCAGCGTGGTCTGATGAGCAGTGCCATGTCCGCGCCCAGGATTCGAACTGACGAAACACTGGGCGCCTGCAGCAGAGCGCGCGAACTTAACCACTCGGCCACGGGGCCAGCCCCCCCTTTTGTTTTTATTGGAATGATTCTTGAGTGCAAATAAATGAAAGTGTCTGTAGATTTCACAAAAATATTGAATTTCACATACCTCACAATTTAATTGACAGAAGCAATCCTGGTTATCATTTCAAAAAAATACTTGTGATGAGCTTAAAGCATGGAGAAAGGAAAATCATAACCAATTTTCACATTGATGTATAGAATTTGACATCTAGTCCTTACCCGTGAAGTTACCAGCCTAATAATCATACTTTGTCTCTGCCCTTTCTCTGATACTTATAACCCATGGACGTGTTCGTTCTTGGCAATTTTCACAGGAATTGTATTATTCCTGTATATTTCCCCTGTGCAGGTATTATAATGGTAGCTTCTGGAGACAATGACCCAGCTTTGCAATCTAATGCTTTTGTGACTCTAATAATGAGAAATTCAGTTAAAGGTGTTATCACGGCATTATGGCAAGAAAGCTAACATGACATTTTTGTTTAGGGCTGTCCTCCCCAAAGAAAACCCTGTGAATCCAGTTATTGCTCTTAGGCTATGAAATATCCCAGCTTTCTAGTAGAATATAATTAAATGTACCTCATAGAGTTCATACAGTCAGCTTCTGCCAAGTTCTTATGATGAATAACAGATTTCAACGTCATACAAGGTGAGTAAAAATTTGTATAGATACCAAAAAATTTTCAGTCAAAGACACTGTACTCATTGTTGTACCCTTGGGGGCAGCAGCATTGGTCTCAGCTAGGTGATCACATCAGAACTCTGCAAACACTTCCAACATTGATATTAGGGCACACCATAAGGGCAAGGTCCTCAAAACTTTTCAATTTTCTAAACTCCTTTCTTTCCATCCAGCCTGGATGATGGCTTGTTGGCAATCTTAAGGAAGTCCTCAAATAATTTTATATTCAATTTTGAATAATTATTTAAATTCTTCTTGACTTCCTTTTGACTTAAGTTAGTATATCAGCAACAGGAGGAGGTCGTATTTCCTCCTCAAAAGGGGAGAAATATCATTCACGTAATTCACACATCTCAGACTTAGGATATTGTTATGGGTTTTGATTGAAATGAGGCTTGAATATTCTAAAAATATGTTCAGATAACCTTTTATTTCAGTCGGACTGGGAAATTATCTTGTCTAGTCTCTTGTATATTGATTATATTTTATATTAGGAACTAACTGATTTGAGAGATAGTACAAATACAATCCAAGGGTTATGACAGCTAGAGTGCGGGCAGAGTAGTGCAGGCAGGAGAAAATCTTCGTGGAGGAGGCAGACGACTCCTGTGGATGTTGAATGACCATTAGGATCAAAAGAGGTGGAGATATGAATGGATAGAGAAGGAGTGTGAGTGCAGAGACACAGTCCATGTCCCAGGCATGATTATAGTTCAATATTCTATGCTCTTATTTTTTTTCTTTTGGATTGTAATGAAAAATCATAAAGGTTGCATGAGGCTAGATCTTAGAATTCTCTGTGTGTCTGTTCAGGAGAGTAAACATCATTATTGAAGAAACACAGAGAGGAATCAGTTTTGTATAACATACTAGTGACTTTGCACTTTGTTAGGTAGAAGATAAATATTTGGATCTCTGCATGTATATACATTTATTTTCTAATCCGAAGATGATGATGATTAAAATAACCAAAAGGTACTATTTACTAAATGCCTTATATGAATCTACATCTCTAACATGTGAAGTTAGTACTGTTTTCAGTTTCCTTTAAAGAGGAAAAAAACAAGCAAAAAAAGAAATAGTGATTTTTTTTTTGGCAACACAATGCTATATGTCTGGCTGAGCTAAAAACCCCGCTTTTAACCATTGTACATGCTCCTTCTTGTGTGAAAGATGGCATTTACATAGGACAAAAGTCTGTATGCTAATGCCCATTTCTCTTTAATTTACCTCACACATAAGATCATATAGTGCATGGATGTCAAAGATACATGAAAATAATTAGAATTGTGGCAAGAGAAAGCAGTCAGTGAAGGCCAGGAGCAGTGGAAGGATCTCTTCTCGTATTGTGTCTCATTGGAAAATTGCTGGTTAATATACAAGTCTAGATAAACAAGTCGAGAATAGCGACTTCCTCATGCAATCTCCAGGTATATTTACACCAGTACTTCTCAACTCTGGCTACATGTTTTTATCACTCAATCTACTTAAAAAAAGAAGAGAAAAAAATATTTTATAAAAGCAATGCTGGAGCCTTGCGCTTAGAGACACCGAATATCTGACATGAGTGTGGCCTGGGTACTGGTATTTTTTAAATCTCTAGATGACCAAATGCATGGCCAGAATAGGAAACCAGTAACATGTACCAATATATTTTTTTTGAGGAAGATCAGCCCTGAGCTAACATCATCCACCAATCCTTCTCTTTTTGCTGAGGAAGAGTGGCCTTGAGCTAACATCCGTGCCCATCTTCCTCTATCTTGGTCATCAAGTCAGATTGCTTCCTTTCACTGGTCCTTAATTTCATCACAATCCCTGTATCTGCCGTAAGTTGGAGCCACATGCTTCCTTTAAAGATCATTTGAGCTTAGACAGGATAGCAAAAGATCCAGCTTAGCGACGGATCAGGATCATTTGGTAAAAATCAAAATTCAAATCAGTGAATTCTCAGAAACACGTTACTGATTCCTCTCTACCTGTATATAACATTAAGCTGAAAATATTTCTGGTGAATGTTTTTACATATAGATATGTATACGTATTTTTACATGTTCAGAAACAAATCATGTGATTAGATAA